TCAATGTCAATGTCATTGTCATTGTCATTGTCATTGTCATTGTTATTATTATCGAACAATTCAAGACTGGCTAACAACACTGCCGAACTAGACGATCTTCGGAAATGCGCCTATTTCCGGCGGAAGTGGAAAGAAAAAACTTAGTAGTGTTATGGCGAACTGGTCGCAAAGATGCGGTGAAATGTGTAGTCAAGTGGAATAACAAAATTAGCCGTTGTGGAATTTTGCACAGCGTTATGCATTTATTTATTGATATGCTTTGTAACTTCATCGATAGAAATGCAGGTTTAGAGTCAGGATTTGATTTTTTCCAGAAAGGGTATGCATCAGATGGAACGTTAAATATCAATTTCTTATAGTCATACATTCATTGATAATCAAGTAGTAATTGCCAGAACAAGCACGTGATGCGCACAAGACAAACCTGTGACAACCGCCTTGTGACGGTGAAGAAGGACGTGCCCATGTTGACCGTCACAAGTTTTACCAGTGTCCATTTATCAGTTATGCTCTTCAGTATCTGCTACTTTATTAAACCCTTCCCCTCCTGGACTTTCATGTTACTTTGCTAATCGCATCAGTCCAGTTTATGGAGACCAAACTCCGGCACCCTAACTGGTACAACTGAACTTTTTCTTCAGTGTAGTTTTGTTGCTTTTAGCGGTTTACGAGCTTGTTTTCGAGCATGTTTTCTCCCTTGTTCAGTTGCCTGGCTTTTTCCGTTGTTTTCCCTTCCTCTACGCCCTTTAAGTATTTGCACGCGTTTACTGTGAAGTTGCAGAACTGTTTATCATTTTAAGCGTGCTTTGCCTCACAAACGTCGGGTTTGGGCAGTTTTTTTTTTCTCGGCCCCCTTTAGTTTGCACGCTTTGTTATATTCAGTGATGTTCTCGTATGCGTGCTTTCCCTCACCAACATCGGGTTTGTGCAGTGCTATTTTCTCGGCTCCCGTTAGGGACTGTGCAATGATCACTTCAAATGACTCTTCGACGTACGACGAAGAGTCATTTGAAGAGTCGTCAGAATCACTGGACTCTGAGCTTGTGTCGTCTTTGCATGAATTGGGAGATTCCTCATCTTCTACAGCATCTATGGCATTAAGGTTCCCGCGTGCGTGGGTGAGAATTCGATCAATCAACTCAGCCTTGCTTCCACTTATCTTAAGACCTTTTTGCTTTAGATACATTTTCTGCTGCTTTTTGTTAAGCGCTTTTACATCTTTTTCAATTGTCCAAGAAATAAGCGGAAGAGTGTTCCTTTCTCTTACTCTTTTTTTGGCTTTTGCATCGAGGAACTCAAGGTGCTGTACATAACTTTTACATCCACACTCGTCCACGTTGTACTGGGAACATACCTCTTGCAAAGACCTGTCTTCAGAAGAGGGCAATTTTCCCTCGTTGAACAATCTCTTTATCTGGACACTTGGGAGAATCTTGTCAATCTGGTCTCCAGTGGACGTTGCCATAGTGAATGGTAAATACTTTCCAGGCGAAGTAGCATCCAGGGTTGGAACTGGAGAACGTTAGACAGGAACATCTCTTGTCCAACCTTCATTAAGGCATCCATCGCACGTTGGAGTGCAGGAAAACTTAAGGTACTCAAGGAACTAAAGTCCCTGACGAACAGGTCTTCTTTTAATTTCTGAAGTTTTTCAAACAAGGCATTCCCACACATTAAATTTTACATCCAATCCCCCCTCTCTCTTGTTGTCATTTTCTCTTATGCCCCCCTCTAATTTTCCAACCCCCCCCTTCCAGGTAATTATTGCACAGTCCCTTAGTTTGCACGCTTATGCTTAGTTTTATAATATTCATTATATGGCTCTGTCTCACAAGGACTGGGAACTACCAAATTCACGAATTTGATTGGCTGAAATCGATATTGAAAGCGGTCTAGATTTCCCCATCTAGACCGGTAATGTTTTGCAGTGAAAAAGTTGCAAACTAAAATGCAAAATCATTGACTATTTTCATCTAACAATATTTATTTATGGAAGTGCCAAAAAGCCTGATGAGAAAAACAAAGTAAAGAGGACAAGCAAACTTTGGCAGAATTAAGTTCAGTTCATCGCCGTTCGCAAGCAAAATGTCAGTTAGTACAAACGAGTTCCATTAAACTAACTAAATTGTTCTTGTTTGCACCATACAATAAACATCTTATTAACTGAGCTTAGTCGGTCTGTATGGGAGAATCTTGACCTCAGTCGTGTGTACAGATCTCACTGCATTCGGTCTGTACTCACGACTTCGGTCAAGGTTCTCCCATACAGGCCTCCTGCTCGGTTAGTAAGAGCTAAGTGATGCTTTTGTTATGCGTGCTTTGCCTCACAAGCATGGCGTTTGCGCAGTGTTATTCCCTCGGCTCCCGCGAACAGGCTCGCAGCGAGGGCGGAAAAACAAATTCGGCGAGCGAATCGAGCCGATAATTAATTTTAGCACTCTTAGCAAACTTTTCAACATTCTTTATACGTGTATTTTAATTTATGCGAATTACTCTCTCAAATTTTAACGTTTCATTTTATCACAATTTATTTCCGTCGAAGACAGTAGACTGGCTTTCGCAAGCTCATGTTTTTTAATGTTTTGTTACTGTTATATCCCTTTCCCTCTCTACTTTAGCAAGAACGTACATTTTTAAAAATCGTTGGAGATATTTATTGACCATACCATTCCACGTCCATACGTATAATTAACAGAATGTCCTTTTGTCCATCTTCACAAACTAAGTTATCCCTACATAACACAGATTATGCCTAACTTACGGTTACATTAGTCATTGCAACGCAACGTGGTATGCTCTTGTTTAAGGGACTGAAATACTATATATTCAAGGCAAAAACGTGCTGTACGTTTAATAACTAAAGTTGGCCATCATATTTATACTGCCTAACTGTTCTTCCAGTTGAAAATAACACTACTGTTTAATTCCTGTTCCATTTATAATACTAATAACAATTAAAATTCTTTTCATGTGTGAATGATAAAATGTGCCTTGCAATAGATGGTCAAAAAATGTAATTTCTGACGATTGAGGCACGAATTAGTGGGAAATTATTATTCTGACGGCACGTTGGAGAGACTCGCGGTGCATCACGGGATGCTAAGGGACAATTTAAGGCTCTTGGCGGGTGATTCTAGTCATTCTAGGTCAGCCAGTCGCTGTGTTCGCCCACTTTATTTTTTATGATTATGTTTCGATTTGATCAATTTGTGTAAATAATTGTAGAAGACTCTTTCCTCGGGGTCTCGTGCTGCTGCATAGATGAGGAATACGTTTCGACATATTTTTTGGCCACATATAAAGAGTGGTTTTTAGTGGTTTTTCGTATCTGGCGTAGTACAGGTTCTGATTCTTGGAACCATTAGTTAAATTTGTGAGGTAAACATCAGGATACATTGAATCTGATGGCTGACTGACGCATCCTCAAGAAACTTTTTTACATTGAATGTCTGGTGTGAGTGTAGTCAGAATCTATAAGCTGTTCCTTGCCACAAAAATATGCAGATCATAACTCCTCTTGCTCTAGCAAGAACATCAGTTAAATTATTGGGGATACCTGCCGATCAAACCTTACCTATTAATCATCTGCAAGATCTCTATGTCAATGCCAATAATTAACAGAATTTGTAGAGTTATTTATCACTTTTAATAAACTCCTTTGTTATTCCTCCCAACTCTAATACGTTTTCCGATTGGAGGAGAACGTGTCACGCGTCATGAGTCAAAACTCACTGACTTCTTAAGGCGAACAAAACTCACTAACTCTCTAGGGAAACAACAACTTGAACTTTCGACTCACACGTGATCAGATTATGCACCTTAAAATCGCGGCGAATTTGTGTGGTAGCCGACAACAAGCAAACTATTTTTCGCACCTTATTCTATTTTTGAGTTGGGAGGTACAACAAAATACTTCACTGGCCCCATCTGAATCAGGGAGTTTTGTTTCCCCTCCAAAAAACTTTTCCCGGGAAACAAAAACTCACCGTTTCCCTTGGGACCAGTAATTAAGTGTTTAATGACTTCAGAGGAGCCATAGATTATTGTCTTCATCAATGCAACACAATGTGAAGTATTCTCTGTAATTTTCCAAAGACTAAACTTCCCCGCTATGATTAAATGTGTAAAGTTGTGTTGTAATTTTTTAAGATTGACTAGTTTCTTTGCAACATATTATGATAAAATATATCAATGTAAAATATAAGTAACAGCCAATCAAAATGAAGCAATTTCCTCAGTCAGATAATAAACAATTAATACAGCCATAAACAAAACTAATCCATCACTATTCTCTTAAACTTAAAAACGAAAAAAATCATCCAAACTGGTCGACATTTTTGCCCATCCTAGATCTCCGAGAGCATTTCGGAAGCAACTTTGTCCATAACTTCCAACAAAATATTTGCATGGTGAGAGGAGAATGTCAACGACGGCCTGAAGCGTATGCTGGTTTCTCCACAGCCTCCACCCATCTCCACACCTAAGGAAAGATCCAAGTAAAAAAATAGGTCCGCAATGCGAACTTGTGTGGGATTTCTGTCAAATAAAAGTTGATGCGCTATGGATAAATCAGAGAAATTGCAGCTTTACAATAAATATTTATACATTTTGTCGTGTTGTAGTGATTAACGTCGAGTAAAGATACAGTAGAGTCCTGGTTATAAGATCCCAAACTGCAGACGAAAAAACGGTTACAGGAGAAACATGTTTGGACTTTAGTTTCTAGGAAATTCGCTCCCTTAGGGTTCGGTTACATGGAACTCTTTACCGTGGTAAATGACCCTTTTACCACGGTAAACTGCATTTAGTGAGTATGACCAATATTTGCGGAGGTAAATTTCCCGTGGTTAATACCCATGGATACATCAAAAAGATCACATGCAGCGCCCTTGACATTTAATGTGGTAAGTTGCATTGGTGTTTTCATGTCCAAGGTGTTACGAGCAAATCACGTTTCTCCGTTTGTCATTAATATGTCACCGAAAAGGAAAAATGGTTTTCCTCTGTGTGCCATTTTAGTTACCTTGGCAAAATCCCGTGTAACCTTTGTTTCACAATGTATACTAAAACCCAGCAAAAAAAACAAACAAACAAACAAACAAAACAAAAAAACAAAAGTCAGCAGACATATATATAGCCCCAAGTTATTGGCGGTGGGGGGAAGGGGAGAGTTTCATTGAAAGAGTCACTGAAGTAAACACATTTTGCAGGTTAGGCTTGTTAGTGCAGAGTGCACTATTGGGATGGTTATGGGGGTTGCCTGCCGCTAACCCACCTGGGTTAACACACAACTGGTTTGCTGGGTTTTAGTATGGGTTTTAGTATGGCGCTATGGCCCTATGGCCCTATGGCGCTAAGGTGTAAACTTTAATGTTTGTTTAATTAATTAATT